GCTGGAGTGCTCTAACGATAGCCACTTGTAGGTTTTCAGCCAAGTGAATAATATATATATATATATATATATATATATATATATATATATATATATATATATATATATATATATATATATATATATATATATATATATATATATATATACATATTTTAACACCTGTCGGACGATAAATACCTGCACTCCATCAGTGACTCTCTTTCCGTTTGTCCCATAAAAAGTATTACATTTTTCGTAAATTTTAGTACACTTCGTACATGTTTAGTACGAATTTCCATTAACCCAGCATTTTCACAAGCCAACGAACCATGACTGTCATTTCACTACTCTTATTTATAAAGATTTATACACGCATTTCAGTGATGGTAAAAACAAAACACCAACTCATTTTGTTCAGCACCCCCTAATAACTACGTATCTATTTAATTTTTTCCCTGTCTCTCTCTCTCTCTCCAAACTTATAAATTTCTAAAAATTATGGCGCAAAAAATCTTCCATTTGCTGGTTTTAAAAGAAAGAAAGAAAAGCCATAAAATGCTAAGCGGCCGCGAGTACTCTACAAAACTGATAATTGTAACAATTGGAAATTGGCTTATCTCTGATAATGATGAACGAGAAATGATGGCGGTTGCCCCTATAACGGCATGGCCTTATTGTTAAAATTACTCTCAGCCCTTATTTCCGCACCTTCTTTTTTCTATCGCCTTTAATTAAATGACATGCCATAAATTTATGTTGCTCGGTTTGGTTTGGCTTTATTTTCCTCTTCTCTGCTTGTTTGACAATTTTTGTGTATGTTTCTTCTATTTTATTTATTCTGTATTTGTCGTCTTTTCTCTGTTTTTCAGCTTCCATTTATCTTCTTACATTCTCGTCCATCCCCTATTTGTCTCTCCACTGTTTTCTACTATAATTCCAACCTCATCAACCCCCTGTAATTTATTTTACAATTGTTTTGTTTTCATTCTTGCAATTCGCCATGTTTTCTTTTGATTGCCAATTCACGTTGCTCTTTCATCCCTTAATGTTATGGGGATGGGGGTTTTATTTTTACTGTTTGTTTTCTGGTCCATTGCTGAGGAGAGTAATGTGGATGAAAACACAAGCAAATCTCTAATCTCTTGTACAAATTTTATCTCGCATGCAAATTGTTCTCCGTGTTTGATTCATATTTTTCTTTGGGCTCTCGCAAAGAGAAGAGAACCAACCAAATGTGCGTTGCATCTCTGTGGCAGCGAAGATGCCAGTCTCCACACTGTTCGTGTGTCGGCCATACAGATAATACATCTGTTCTCGTTCGTTCGTTTGCTTGCTCTCTCCCTTGCCGAATGAGGAACAGCCACACAGCAGCCATTCATCCATGTGTTTATGAATTCTACTATGCTGCTGTTGTTGTTTCTGTTATAGTTGTAATTTTTGTTTTCGTTTTCATTCTCATTTCATACGAAAATAAAGTTATTTTTAGTTAGTTGTTGTTGTTGCTACATCTGCTGCCGCTGTTTTGTTGTTCATCTTTGTTGTTCCACATGAGCTGCACATGTTTTCAAGTGGCGAGGTAGGTAGGTTTTTTTTGTATTTCTCTCTCTCATACTGGGCCCCCCTCTCTTTAACCCCCTTATCTACGTATGTGTTGGTTAGCCTGTCATTGTTGGTCTTCTTGTGGATGCAATGCACGTCTCCATTGTTGCCACCACTTCACCCAGCTACATATTTACACATCAACATCCACATGTACTTAGCAGTGCCCCTCTTCTTTCTTTGTTCCCACAATGATTAGTTGAGCAGCCATTGAATTTGATTGCAATTCCTCCATTCGTATTTGTGTATTTCTCCTGCATCTTTATTTCTTGTTTATGTCGCATTCTTAGTTGTCTGTTTATTATTAAAAATTTCCTTTTCTTTGTTGTTGTAATAATAGGTGTTGTTCTCGCTGCTGCGACTGTTTTTCTATAGACAAACTCTGAACATGTGATTTATTCTTTTTACTAAAATACTCGAAATGATGCACTAGGAGCGAAATTTGCACACCGAAGAAACAGAAAAAGGGAAATCGAAAAAGAATTGTAAAACAGACAAACGCAAATTATTACCATGTGGCAGACAGAAGCGTGGCAAGGGGTAAGCTTGAAATTGTGCATTGCTGAAGACAGAGCGAGAGAGAGAGACTAAAGGTCAAAACTTCACAAAATAGGTGAAAAAAAAAACAGAAGGTCAAATTAGACAATCGTAAATGTAATGTAGATGTGTCGTAACCATGACAGAAACGAATTTGCGATTTCTATAAGTCATGGAAATAAAATCAAGTTTAATTCAATAAATATTCTTCGCAGTCAAACTGAGAATTGGATAATAGGACCATCTAGACTTATTTTTCTTGGTCAAATCTAAACTAGTGTTCTTTGCATTTAAAGGTATCTTTGGGAGATTTAAAAATGAAACGAGTTGAAATAATTAGTGGAAACATTTTTATTTGAGGGTTACATCTTAAGACTCAATTGGATACTCAATTCGAGTGTTATCGTGCTCATCCAGACGGACAGCATTTGAAAGCTTTAATTTTGCATACATGTTTATTCTGTCAGTAGGCAGGTAGAGTTCTTTAACGGACCACGTGAGTTCACGTTTTCGTATGGAACCCATATAACGTACCAACTGATTTTAGATATTTTCTCTTGACATTTTTTAAACTTGATTGTCTGAAGTTTAGCACTTGTAGTTGGATATGGATATGAATCAGCGTTGTGGCAATTCTACCTTCTGGTATTAAATATTTTGATCTCTTAGTTCCTACTCTGATATATATAGAACATAGCTTTGATGATGTAACAGTAAAAACTTCATTTAGTATTTTTAAGGCTCTAATCAGGTTTCGAACTCGGAGATGAACAGTCTCGGTCCACCCGTTCTGGTATCTCCCCCCACAAAGGTTTAAAATGTTTCGCAGAACAAGAAAGGATCGGCATTCTGCAAATCCCAAAATTCTTCTCAGTATTAGGTCATGAACGAAAATTGACTATATCGGACCATTCCATCAAGAGCATCCCCCACAAAGGGTCAATATAATTATAACTCTTATAAAATGTGAAAAAGAGTCCGATTTTCTTCAAATTTCGCACATCTCAGTATTTTTATCAAAAAAAAGGTATAGTGTGGAGATGGGATATCTAGGTACACTTCATAATTTTTAATAATCGTCTCTCTAATAAAATGTGAAATTAGTGCCCCAGGTTCTTCAAATTTGACACATCTCAATTCTTTTACCAACGCTACATTTGGTATCAAGAACAGATGGAACGGACCAATTCTTCCAGCACCTCCCCCAAAATGGATAAAAATTTTTAATAACCATGACGCTCATAAAAGGCGATTTAGGCATCCGTTTCTTCTTAAACGTAGCACATCCTAATATTTCAACCAACACAAGATCTAGTATGGATATGGGATACATCCGCCTACTCACATTTTGAATAATTATAACTCAAATTTTACATATCTCAATAATTCTAGCGACGCATGGTGAGGCTTGAAGATGATAGGACCTCCCCTTCTGCTACCTTCCCCACACAGGGACAAAATTTTGAATAATTAAATCTATCAGAAAATGCGAAATTAGAACCCAATTCTCTTCAAATTTCACACTTCCAAATATGTTTATTAACAAAATATATGGGATATATCGGGGTACACCTTTGTGTATCTACCCCACAAAGTTGTCAAACTTTTGAATAATTATATCTCCCATTTGGTGTTCTACTTGCAAAAATATTCGTTTCAGGTCCACTAGTCCCCATATAACGGTACCTCCCGATTTTCGATATTTTGTAGGTTTCTGCCACAATTTTCAAACAAATTAGAATAAACTTGACATTTGGGGTTCTCGGTAGCATGGTTCTCTCCCTGCATAAAAAAATGATTCAGATCCACCAGTTGGTATAGCCCTAGATGGTAAAAGTACCTCCCGATTTTCGGTAATTTAAAGGTTTCTGCCACATTTGCCAACCAAATCAGCTGAAAATTGACATGTGGATTGGGTAAAATCATCAAAATACAGAATATAAAGAAGTACCATTATATGGGGGCTATACCAAAACGTGGACCTGCACAGACAATTTTCTATAATAGGCTATAGTATCCATTGTGAACTTCAAATACCAAATTTCAAACAATACCGGTGAATAATGTCACCAACATCATCAAAATACCGAATATCGGGAGGATATGGGGGCTTTAAGAAAACGTGGGTCTGCACAGACAATTCTCTTTCTTAGACTGTAGTGTCCATTACGAACTTCAACTACCAAATTTGAAACAATTCCGGTGAATAATTTCGCCAACATCATCAAAATACCGAATATCGGGAGGTATCGTTATATGGGGGCTATACGAAGGCGTGGACCTGTACAGACAATTTTCTGTCTAAGGCTGTAAAGTTTATTACGAACTTCAAATACCAAATTTTAGACAATTCCGGTGAATAATGTCGCCAAAATCATCAAAATACCGAATATAGGGAGGTATCGTTATATGGGGGCTATACGAAGGCGTGGACCTACACAGACAATTTTCAGTGTAAGGCTGTAGTATGCATTACGAACTTCAAATACCAAATTTGAAACAATTCCGGTGAATAATGTCGCTTAAATCACCAAAATACCGAGAAACGGGAGGTACCGTTATATGAGGGCTATACGAAGGTGTGCACCTGCACAGACAATTTTCTGTCATGGGCTGTAGCACTCATTATGAGCTTCAAATACCAAATTTCAAACAATTCCTGTGAATAATGTCGCTAAAATCATCAAAATACAGAAAAACGGGAGGTACCGTTATATGAGGACTATACGAAGACGTGGACCTGCTACTATGGTGGGGGGTATAAAAAAGTCACATGTTGACTGTCAAATGTACAGTGCAGTGCAAAAACATGGATGTTGAGCTCAATTCATTCTATGAATTGAAATAAATATATACTTAAAAATACTACTCTTTTATTGCAGATTTTAGACCACAAAGTATTATAACAATCAATAATTGTTTATATATATATAAAAAAAGACAATATATATATTTTTTGCTGTGTAAAAGAAACAAATTGTGTGCCAAAAAAGAGAAAAAAAACAACAACTTTAATTTATAATTAAAGCAACTAGCAACACGTATAAGTATAAAGATAACAACTCTATGTCTTCTATTAATATAATAAAATAATAAACCTAAGTACCAAAAAAAACCAACATCAACAACAACAACAAGAATCCATTATTATATACAGCACAATATTTGGAAAAATATTGTGTTCTGTTTTACACCAGAACAGAGCGTCGAGCGAAAGCCAGTCAGTTGGGATTTTTTTTACACATTCATCTTTTAGCCGTTTATTAACGTAAAGCCGTCAAACTGTGGGGCTCAGGGGCATTTTTTCTTCCTCCCCAAGGAATGTATTATCCGGTAAGTACAAAAAAAAGATTACTATTTTCAGTCTATAAAATATGTGGCTTGTACTGCAAATATTGACAGACCATTTATTTTTTAAAGGTAAAGAAAAAAAATTTTGCCAAAAAAAATAAATTAAAAAAAATTAAAACTTTAAATTTAAAATAATTATAAATATACAGGATGAGATGAAAAAACTGAAACCAACTTCAGACTGCTATCATTTCTAAGCCACTCGTCCGTCAGCTGTTATTCCAGTGAAAATATAATTACAAGCGTACATAAGCATTTTGGTGAGCATTTTCCAGAAAAAAAGTTATTCGTGATGGAATTCAAGCGTGATAGTGTGATTTCTTTATATTTGGCTGAAGAACCACAAGTGGCTATCGTTAGAGCACTCCAGCATATAAAAGTGAATAAATCTTTTGTGTCTCGTACCATCGTTCGTTACCGTGATACTGGTAGCGTAGCCCGACATCAAGGAAGTGGACGGAAGAAAACAGCAACATCAGCAGAAATGGTTCGAAAAGTAAAGTAGCGACTTGATCGAAACCCTCGTCACAGTGGCCGAAAAATGGCTTGTGAGCTGAACATATCGGAATATTCCATTCGGCAAATATTGAAAAATGAGCTCGGGGTAAAGCCATTGATATTCCAAAAAGTGCAAGAACTTTCACCGCAACAGAAAGAAAATAGACTCCAAAGAGCTAAAGAGTTGCTTCACTTGACCGAAAGTGGTGAACTGCCGAATTTGGTTTTTTCCGATGAGAAAACTTTCGTTGTCCAGCAGTTTGTAAACAAACAAAATGATCGTGTTTACATGCCAAAGAGGTCAGCTGGAAATGTAAAACTTCGGCTGGCCACCAGAACTCAAGCGCCGGCAATGGTGATGGTCTGGGCCGCCGATGGTTGCTCTCCGCTCGTATTAATCTACCGTGGAATCAGAATAAATGCCGAATATTATCGCGAAAATATTGTGGAGCGTATATTAAAGTCTTGGGCGTGCAAACATTTTGGCCGCAGACCTTGGACATTCCAACAGGACTCAGCACCATCGCACTCAGAACGGGTCACCCAAGAATGGTTACAAAATGAGGCTCCTCGCTTCATTTTCAGCGCACAATGGCCACAAAAATCTCCAGGATACCAATCCGTTGGACTATTGTGTCTGGAGTATTTTGGAAAAACCAAGGTTGGCACTCAAAAATACCCAAGTGTCGATCACCTCAAGCAAGCGTTTCGCCGGGAAGTGGGCAAAAGTGCCGCAGAGCAACATTCAGGCAGCGTGTGACGGTTTCATTGGCCGTTTGAAGGCCATAATTTGTGCCAAAGGTGAACAACGCGAACAAATCTAAAGTTATTCTAAAATTTGATGCTATTTCCGACATTTTTTGCTTCCATTCAATAAACAAAAGTTTGTATCTGGTGTTCTATTTCTCAGTTATGTAAGAGCAAATTATTTTGCTTCTTATATTGTTTGTTTTTTTGCTTTTCCGAAACAGGTGCTGTATAACTTATATTAACCATATTTACCATCTCAAATCGTTTTCAAAGACCCAGATTACAAATATAATCTTTTAACCTCAAAAACAAACACAAGAAAGTGTACTCAAAAGGATGTCAGGATCAAACCTCACCCTAAGTGTTGCATAAATAGACATTAAGCCAAGTGTGTACACACATACAGGTTTAATGCTCTCACCTTTTGCGTAACGCGTGCCTGACGATTTTCTTTCGAGAAGGCGAGATAGGAAAACAAAACCCACTTCAAAGATATCTCAACTGACTACCTGTCTTGCCACTGAACAATCTGACCTTTCCTTTGTTAATTCAGTTATTTCTTCCAATTTGTTTTTGTCACTTCTACCTTTTTGTCTGTCCAAATGTTTGCTTTTGTGGCGTTTGCTTTTGTGTTCAAATACCGCAGACACACACACACACACACACTTATTTCTTTGATGTCATACTTGTATGTTAAGTGAATGTTATGCCAACACTAAAAATGTTTGTTTTTCACACTTTCCACCATCTTTAACTGACTTAATAAAAGAAGGGCGTTAACAGACATTGTTTTGCTTTGATATCTGTAGCCCCAAACCCACCTATCAGCAACAAGAATGATAGTAAAGTTTGTTGTGATAAGATTTATAGTTTATCGTTATTTGTATTGTTATTGCAGAACTTTGGGAATATTACCCAGCAAACATTTTTGAGAACCCCTAGCCAAATTACCCTTAAACAAGGTGATGTAAACAACATTTTTAACATCGGTTAATTACACTGTGCAACACATAAAATAATTACAGGGAAAATCCAGCAGATTACAAAAGTAGAGCTAAACAAGTTAAAAAAGCAGTAAGTTCGGCCGGGCCGAAATTTCAATACTCTCCACCATTTGAAACGAATTTGGAAATTTTCAAAAAATAATATCCTTAAAAAATTCTGTTTAAATTTTAAAAATACCGAATATAGCCGTTATACTGGGGTCTATGCGACGTGAACCTACATAGGCATTGTTTGTCATAAGCCATTACCATATTCAAATTCAAAAACTTGAAATAAACGGTGAATATTGTAGCTAAATCAAAATATCGTATATAGGGAGGTACCGTTATATCGGAGCTGTGCGAAGACCTGGACCAGCATAGACAATTTTCTGTCATAAGCTGTAGCATCCATTACGAACTTCAAATACGAAATCTCAAACAATTTTGGTTAAAAGACCGAATGTAGGGAGGTACTGATATATGGGACCTATACGAAGACCTGGACCTGCATAGACAATTTTCTGTCTTAGGCTGTAGTATCCAATACGAACTTCAATTACCAAATTTTAAACAATTTTAAATAAATCTTACCTGAGGATTTAACCCATACTTTGTGTGAGATTCACCCTATCATCATTTTTAAAATATGACGTCAAAGACAAAACTATTCTTCATCAAATTCACCGTGGTACATCGTAATATTATTGTCAAACTTAGATCGAGTTCGGAGATGGGAAATATCAGTCCACTGCCTCCAGTACCCCCCATTCCCCACAAAAGGTCAAGATTTTCAAAGAACATAATTTTCCTCATAGAACAAGATAGGATCATTCAATTTTTTAAAACTTTGCAAATCCGATGTCATGTTCGAAAATGGGCAAGATTAATCTTCTCTATCAAGTACCTCCACCACAAAGGGTTACAATTTTGAATAATTATAACTCTTATCAAATGTTATGTAAGTGTCCGATAGTCTTCAAATTTGGCACATCCCAATATTTCTACCAACACAAGGTCTGGTGTAAAAATCGGACCACTCCTTCTGGTACCCCCATAAATGGTCAAAATTTTGAATAAATATATAGCTAATAAAACGTGAAATAAGTATTCGATTGTCGTGAAGTATCAGACATCACAATATTTTAATCAACACAAGATTTGGTGTGAAGATAGTAGACATCGGCCCCTTCTTCAGGTGAGACCTCCCCCACAAAGGGCCAAAATTTTGATTAATTATAACTCTCATAAAACGCGAAATAGGTATCCAATTGTCATCTAATTTCACAAATCCCATAATTTTCAACACAACATCTAGCGTGAATATGGTAAACATAAACATACCTCACCTACAAAGGTTCAAAATTTTGAATAATTATATCTCTAATGCAAAGTAAGCATCCGATTCATTTTAAACTGCACACATTACTTCTACTACTACTTCCTATTCTTTCAGGTACCTCCTCAAGGGTAAAATAATAATATTTCTATAAGCCATAGATATAATGTAAATATGGTATATGTCGGTCCACTCCTTGGATGGTAGATTAAGTTCGTCATTCCGTTTGTAACTTATCGTAATAATAATCTTAGACCCAACAAAGTATATTTATTCTTGATCTGCGTAAAATTCTAAAACGGCTTAGCCCTGTCCGGCCGTCCGTCTGTTGTAAACACGCTACAGTCAAAACGAATTAAGATAGGAAGGTAAAATATTACACAGATCTGTCTTCTGCCTGCAGCCAGGTCAAGTTCAAAGATGGGTTCTATCGGTCCACGATATCGTATAGCCCCCATATAACGGTACCGCCTGATGTTCGGTATTTTTATGATTTTAACCACATTTTTCAATGGAATTGTCTGAAATTCAACACAAGGAGTTCTTCGTGACTTCTTTACCACCTAAGAAAGAATTGTCTAGATATCCTATAGCCCCCATACAATGATGCCCATCGCTAATCGGTATTTTGATGTTTTTAGTCAATGGCATAATCTAAAATTTTAAACAAGGAGTTCTCTGTGAGCTCTTTACCCCCTGAAAGAGAATTTTCTATATAGCTCCACGATATCGTGTAGCCCCTATACAATGGTCCTCCCCCCTCCCCTCGATATTCTGCATTTTAATGATTTTAGCATATTTTTTGAAGGGAATAGTCTCAAAATCCACACAAGAAGTTCCCTCTGAGTATTTTATCCCCTAGAAGAGAAGTGTCTACATAGGTCTACGTTTTAATGTAGCACCCATATAACGCTACCCCGAGATATTCGATATTACCATGTTTTTTACAACATAATGTTTCAAATTTAGTATTTGAAGTTCGTAATGAATACTGCAGCCTAAGACAGAAAATTGTCTGTGCAGGTCCACGTCTTCGTATAGCCCCCACATATAACGGTATCTCCCGATATTCCGTATTTCCATGATTTTCACGACATTATTCACTGAAATTGCGTCAAATTTCGTATTTGAAGTTCGCAAGGGGTATTACAAGAACCTATGACGGAAAATTGTATATGAAGATTTTGGTATAGGCCCCATACAACGGTACCTCCATATACTCGGTATTTTGATAATATTAGCGGTATTAATCGCTGGATTTGTTTCAAATTTCGTATTTAAAGTTCGGAATCGTTACAACAGCCTATGACAGAAAAAAAAAACAGTAGAGAAATTCCTAAAGTAGGGCGAGACCGACTTTGTGATACTCTACACAACTTTGACAATTTAGTAGAACTCCACATAACAATTAA